TTTTTCTCTATATGAATATTAACAATCAAGAGCAATACTTAATCTTATTTTTACAACATCTCTCATAGGAATAGCTCATGTTTCATTCTGGTACTCTTCCTATCAGAGAGGATGAGTATGAACTTAAAAATCGATTAGGAGATGTTGTGATATAAATCATTACGATAGCATGAAAAAATTATTAGGGAAATTGGAATAGACTATTTTTTCAAGATGTCCTTGATGTCGAACTAATTTAGGCAAAAATTTACTTTTTCAACTCGTTTTTCCATTGTTTTTTGTTTTTTTGCACTTTTTATCTTCGCCATCTGTTGTTGAATATTTCGCAATTTTTGTTCGGCTTGTTTACTTTCACTCTGATACTGATGATAGGTTTTCATTGTCTAAATAAACATACACATATGTAATCAACATGTTCGACGAGATAAAAGATAATAAATATACCACTTACACTCTGTAATTCATTAAGTACTTTATATATATCTTCATGACTAGCCAACCCAGCCGATTTACACTAGAAAACAAAATATAGATTTATTTCCTTTGAGAGAAAAATCTGTTTTTCTACTTTTGTAAACATTCGTCGTGTATCATCAGCTATTTCATTAAATTTATCATACATATATTTTCCACAAACATCAGACATAATTGAATGATATTTAACATGAGTACGAGTATCTTGAACAATAGTATCCCATAATTTATATATTGATTGAAGACTCCAAGTTTCACGTCTATTGAATTCAATGAATGAATTAATTATTTTTTGACTTTTGAAAAGAAAAATATCTTACCGTGCTTTTTGTGCACGATGCTTTTGACCTATTTGTTTATGTAAATTATCAAGATTTTTAGCATAATCAAGTTCAACATCAGCACGACGTTTAAAATATTCTTGTATTTCAGTAAGAATTGATAATTGTGTTTCAATACGTTGTTCTAAGGATTTTAATTGTTCATTAAGTTGAAAACGAATATCTAATTAATAAGAAGAAAAAGAAAAATTCTTATTAGTTCGAATTATTTAATAATCCTACGAAGTCTATAACGTTCGGTTTGTTTTCGCAATAAAGTTAGTTGTGAATTTGATGAGCGTCGTACACTATTTTTTGTCGATGCTACACCGCATGTATAGTTCACCATTGTCGATAGACAACTATGTTCTAATTGTTCATTCGTGAGTCTGCATGATGATTGAATGAACGAGTAAGTAAAGGACCTTTTTTTCCTTTTTTTTTTTTCTTCTGCTCAGCGACGACGACGACGACGACGACTATGATGTCGAGGCCTAGTGTATCACTTTATGTATATGTCTGCCCTCCATCAGAGTAATGGCAAACATTTGTTCGCATAGATATGAACGATGAAAGAGGAACAATGCTATATTCCAATGAAGCAAGCACATTTAACATCAACACGAACCGGTCAACACTCTTATTCACATTTTTTTCTTCTTCTTTCTCTTTCTATTTTTTCTTTCGTTCTTTCTTTTGTCTATATATCGTGTTCATTAGAAATATGATATCGTTATGCTTATTATTGCTTGACTTTCTCTCTTACTTTTTGAAAATCAAGAGACAATATGTTTAAGAATAAAATATCATGAGTTATTTGTTCTATTTAACCTTTAAATATAGAATAATAATAAAAATAACAAATGAGATATACCCATTAAACTTCTTGTCAATGATAATATCTCTAACAGTATTTATGCGTGATTAAACAAGCTCTTAATCGAATCATTGAATAATGGCTCTAGGCGTGTTAGTAACTTCTTTGTATTATAATCATTTTTTATATAAAAATTAAACTCCTATTTTCTTCAATTATTTTTTAATCTTGACTTTTGACTTCAATTTATCATTATCTACAATGGCAGCAGAGAATAACAACAAGGTTTCATATCTCCATTCATGGTTGTTGATATACAACACCCCATATAAGTATAGATATGCATGTATGTATACATTTATGTATATATACATATATATATATATATATCTGATGAGAGAAAGACGTGTGTGTATTTTGCCCTTTCGAACTTGATATCCCTCCTACTTATAACCCATTCATAATATTAATTGATGAAAATAAAAAAGAATTATATATATATACATACCTTTAAAGATTTGATCAAATTCAAATAAAATTTGTTTTCCTTTCTTATAAGTTTTTTCCGTATGTTTATCTTCATTAAATGGTGCTGGTGATGATGGTAATGATGTTGTTGTGATTAATGGTAAAGGTGGAGGCGATGGCGTTTGAGGTTGTGTAGTTAATGGATGTATTGAAGCTAAAGCCGAATTAATTGTGTTCGACTGCATCTTCAAATTTGTCGCGTTATTATTTGATTCACTTGCCGACATTACATCTGAAATAACAATAACTTAAATGATAAAAGAAAAGTAAATGTACGACAATACTCTTTGTGTATACAGCTCAATCTTTTTTTCTTGATATGTTATTTGATAATCAAGGCAACAAAAAAAAAGAAAACTAGACACGATAGTACTGATAGATAAACATGAGACAGACAAAGATTAAAGAAGATACCCTATGGAAATTCTCAAGGAAAAAGAAGGTGGTAATGACTTTTATATCTCTTATATGTTCTTACTTTCATAATCAATGATTAATAAATAGTGATGAAGACGAAGAAAGAGAAATATATATATATATATATATGTATAATATATATCCGAGAAAATAAGAAAAAGGAATTTTCCCTGATATCTTCATTTGTGTAAATACAGCTTAGGCGACATTCTTCAAATACAGGCGATGAAATCGAATAAATAACAACAACAACAACGAACGACTAACGATTAGTTGAAACAACAGAAGTAGTAGAATCAGTAATAACACATCTTTTTGCCGCTCTCGTTACCATATTTTATGCAATTACCATACATCGTTGGACTATGCCTTGTCTATCTGCACTTACGTATGTATGTGGCAACGAGAAATACTAACATCAAGGGCGAACAATTGTTGTGATGATGTCAAAGACTGCAAGGCATAATATATAACCGTTCTAGTTGTCTTTTTACTTTTATGTCATCGACTTTTATTTGGTTGTCATCAAACTCTTACTTATGATCATCATAATTTAGACTTTTTTCTGATGATGAAAGACAACTAGTTCGATAAAGATAACAACGAACTATTTCAACTCTGATTTGTTTTAAATATAACAGCAGAAGAAAAAAAAAGATCTCTCTCTCTTTTATATAATCAATATATTCGTAACATTTTCATGGAAGATAAGGAATATAATATTTATATTATGTAAAAAAAAAAGAGAGAGCATGATTATTAACTATTGATCATAAAAGGTGGATGTATATTTATCTTTAATGTCAATCATATTTCCTTTCTTCAGTCACGTCTCTTATTCATTCATTAAACATATATAATTAATATATAGATACTAAATGACAAGAAAACTATAAGACATATTGAAATCGATCAAGAGAGAAAGTAATCAATTTTTTCTTCCGAGAAGAAAAAAAAAATTTTTTTTTTTATTCTTTTATACAATAGAACATAAGAGTCTTACAATTTCTTTTTACCATTTGATATGTTTGTAGTCAAATAATCGGAAATTGATACGAAGTAGTTAATGATTGATAAACAAAAGAAACGGAAAAAGTCAACAAAAACATAAATGAAGAATATGTTGACTCATTGGATATGAACTGAACAATGAATTAATGTTGATTCGTCAATAAGAATAGCCATCATGAATTTTTAAGCTATGCAGGCAGATAGAACAAGATAATTATATGTTTGTTTTGCTGACATCTATCGAAGATGAAATATAAAATTTCTTTTTGATTATGTTCTCATTATATTGATTTGAATATGATTTATTACATAGAAAAATCAAAAACTAATTTTGAAAGAAATGAATATCACATTTGATCTTGCGATACAATCACGTACAAAATAGTTCGTGTTTGAGCTTATCTTGTCTTTTACATCGATTTATAATTAAATAGTAAATTCCACTCTCAAATTATTTTAATCTTGCATTTATATTTTGAAACACTAAATCGTTCGATTCAATTTTATATAACAATAGCTATGTCTTTTTCTATTACATCGTCAATAGACATATACTAGATAGAAAGAGTTAATCTGGAAAAGAAGAAATTTAAACTAATAATAAGAAACACACGTGGTATTCGTATTGAGATAAATAAACTTGATAGTTTACAGTTTGTTTGGTCGAACTATCGAGGGTATCAGTAAAAGTACGCACTCTGTTTTTTGTTCTCTTTCTTGTCTTATGTATATATCGAATATAAATGCACAAATAACGAAACGAACAATCACAAATGGTTCATCATTCGAAGATGATAGACAATAACATAAATCATATAATAATTACTGATGAATTCGATATTTCACGTCAAGATTTAGAATTCTTAATGCAAACACATCAGCATGATGGTATTAAAGAATTTAATGAAACATTTGGTGGCCTATATGGTTTAGAAAAAAGGCTTAAAACAAATTTAAAAACTGGTTTAACTGGTGATCCACTCGATTTATTACATCGGAAGAAAATATTTGGTCATAATGAAATACCTAAAAAATCAGCCAAAAGTTTTTTTCGTCTTATGTTCGAAGCTCTACAAGATGTTACACTTATTATTCTTATTATTTGTGCAACCATATCATTTGGTCTTGCTTTTTATCATTCTGATCGTAATACATTTGAGCATCAATATGAAAGACATAGTAAATATTTAAAACAAAGAAAGAAAATTTTTATTTTTATTTTATTTTATAGAAGAAACAAATGTTGACTGGATCGAAGGTGCAGCAATTATTTTAGCTGTAATTGTCGTTATATTTGTCACTGCTTTTAATGATTGGAGTAAAGAAAGACAATTTCGTGGTTTACAAAATAAAATTGAACATGATCAAAAATTTAATCTTATACGAAATAATCAATTAGAACAAGTACCATTAAAAGACATAGTTGTAGGAGATGTATGTCAAATAAAATATGGAGATCTATTACCAGCTGATGGTGTTGTTATACAATCAAATGATTTGAAAGTTGATGAATCATCGTTAACAGGAGAATCGGATTTAATATCAAAAAATCTTCATAAAAATCCATTTCTTCTTTCAGGTACATTTCATTTATTCGAATATGTACTCGTTTATTTATTTAAGTTATTTTAGGTACACATGTTATGGAAGGTAGTGGAAAAATGTTAGTCATAGCTGTTGGGGAACATAGTCAAACTGGTGTTATTTGTCGTTTACTACGTACACCAGTACCAAAAAGTAAAATAATAATTTTCATATATATATATTTTGATTCTAATGAATATATATTTCAAGAAAATGAAACAACAGAAACAACCAAACCAAAGGCAACCGATGATATACATAATGATCGAAATAGAGATAAAGAACGATCAATTTTACAAACAAAATTAACTAAATTAGCTATTCAAATTGGATATATTGGTATGTTTCTTTTTGTTTTATAAATAAAAATCTAATGCAAAACAATAGGAATGATTGTTGCTGTTTTAACTGTCCTTGTTCTTATTGCACGATTTTCATATGAAGAATTTGTTATTAAACGTGAGCCATGGAAAGCAAAATATTGGAATCGTTTTGTTCGATATTTAATAACTGGTATTACTGTTCTTGTTGTTGCTGTTCCTGAAGGTTTACCATTAGCAGTTACTATTTCACTTGCATATGCTGTTAAGGTTAGTTAATTCCTATTTTTTTTATTCATAATAAAATACATTGATTTTTGTCTAGAAAATGATGTATGATAATAATCTAGTTCGTCATTTGGATGCATGTGAAACAATGGGTAATGCAACAACAATCTGTTCAGATAAAACGGGTACTTTAACAACAAATCGTATGACTGTTGTTGAAGTTTATATTGCTGGTAAACATTGGAAAAATATTAATAATCGAAATAAATTAGAAGAAATGCACTTATCTGATAAAACCAAAGAAATTCTTTTCGAAGGCATTTCTGTTAATAGTAGTTATACATCAAAATTAATTGTAAGATTAAATAATAATTGAATTTTTTTGATTATTTTTAATTTTTTAATTTTCTTCCTTCAAGTTACCAACAGAAAAAGAAATTTTACCAAAACAAGTTGGAAATAAAACTGAATGTGGTTTATTAAATTTTATTGTTGAACTAGATGGAAACTATGAAGCTTTAAGAAAAACATATTTAGAAGAAAGTTTTCTTCATGTATATACATTTAATTCAATTCGAAAATTAATGTCTACAGTTATTCAACGTTCAGATACAATTCGTTTACATATGAAAGGTGCATCAGAAATTGTTTTACAAAAATGTACAAAAATTTTAGATCAAGAAGGAAATGTAATACCATTAACAAAAGATGATTGTAATTATCTTTTACATGATGTTATTGAACCAATGGCGTGTGATGGTTTAAGAACAATTTGTATTGCTTATAAAGATTTTCATGAAATGCCGAATGATTGGAATGATGAAACAACTATATTTGAAGATTTAACATGTATCTGTATTTGTGGTATTGAAGATCCTGTTCGACCAGAAGTAAATTATCTTTTTTTTCTATATATAATATCGATTATTTGTTTTTGAATAGGTTCGAGAAGCAATTGAACAATGTAAAGAAGCTGGTATAACTGTTCGTATGATAACAGGTGATAATGTAAATACAGCACGATCAATAGCATTAAAATGTGGTATTATATCTCCTACGGATCATTTTCTTGTTCTTGATGGTAAAGAATTTAATCGACGTATACGTCCAAATCGTTTCGAAGATGTTGATCAAAATTTATTTGATAAAATTGGTTCAAATTTACGTGTATTAGCACGATCATCACCACAAGATAAATATCTACTTGTGAAACATTTAGTTGAATCAAAACATTCTATGACACGTGAAATTGTTGCTGTTACAGGTGATGGAACAAATGATGGACCAGCACTCAAAAAAGCTGATATTGGCTTTTCAATGGGTATTCAAGGTACAGATGTTGCAAAAGAAGCATCAGATATAAGTAAGTTAATATTGAATAGATGTTAATTTTTTCTTCGCACCTCGTTTTTTTCTTTTCTATAGTTTTAATTGACGATAATTTTACATCGATTGTTAAAGCAATCATGTGGGGAAGAAATGTAACAGATTCTATATCGAAATTTCTTCAATTTCAATTAACTGTTAATGTTGTTGCATTAATCTGCGCATTTGTTGGTTCATGTATTGTTAAAGAAAGTCCATTACGTGCTGTACAAATGCTTTGGGTTAATTTAATTATGGATACATTAGCTTCATTAGCACTTGCAACTGATAGACCAACTATC